GAGTTCCACTTCTACAACCGGAGAACACGCGGTAGTACGCCGTCACAGAATAATCAGACGCGGCGAAGGTACTTCGAGGCTTTCCTCTATCCATGATAACTAAATGTTCGAGGACGAACATTCTAATTTTGGGGAGATAATGTTATGATACGACATGAGCCAGATTATAGATTCTGGGCATCCTGTATAATACGAAGGACGAAGAGTCTAAACATTCCTGATCGGGGTTACCCCTCACCTACTGTATAGAAGGGTTCCGAACTATAAAGGAGCGTGAGGCTGAGACATCCCTGAAGAAGGATAACACTTTTTAGACATCGAGAATACGACAGATAGACTAGGCCTATCCACTAAGGCTGAACTATCTATAAACCGATCTACTCGTAGTTTAAGAGACAGCTCCAGGCTGTTTCATAATACTAGGGACCATCCAGGGCGTGTGGCGCAGTTGGTAGCGCGTTCCCTTAGCATGGGAAAGGTCTCCGGTTCAAATCCGGACTCGTCCAATTTTTACTTTTGTATTTTTTAGCAATATTTACCACCAGCGCACGACTTTTTTCTCTGACGCCCAAAAAAATGCGCAGGCTACTGTGAGACTCTGGGTAAAGTCGTCGGTCCAGGTTTTGTATCGTTAACCCAGCAGAGACCCGAAGTTTGTCGAACAGCTAATCCTGACCTGTGCTTCTTAATTCACGTCTCAGCTATCAATATTTTCTGTTGCTAGCTTTCCAGCTTTGATTTACCAGAGTATCCAGATCACATTGCCAGAGAGGAAAAATGTCGTCTTTCGATGATGATGAAGCACTCTTCGAGGACCTCTACGATGATGATTCCAAGACTGAGACGAAGCCTTCCACAAAAGGTGCGGAGACAGATACTGCTGCTTTAGAGGCCCCCAAGGATGACTCAAGCAGCGAGAAGCTAGAAGTCGCAGTACCGGCAAATGCATCTACTGCCCTGGTTGCCTGCTCAAACACATCAAACGGCCCCAGTACTGCAACCCCAAGCGTGGACCAAGCGAATGTTGGTACTTCTGCCAACGCACAACTTTTGCCGGTCGTATCTCAGGAGGCACAGGCTCAATTGCAGAACCAGCAATACGGTGTTCCGCAGCCTCCTGCCCAGGGTGCCGGGAGCGCTCAAGGACAGCAATTCCTGGCTTATGGACAGCAGCCGCAAGGTCAGTATGGCCAGAATCAGGGTGGTCAATATGGCCAACAGCCTCCACAGCAATACGGCCAGCAACAGCAGCAATACGGCCAGCAGCAACAGCAATACGGCCAACAGCAACAGCTGTATGGCCAGAAGTCTTTCAACAGCCAGCCTCCTTCTAACTTGGGAAGAGACAGTGGAAAAATGTTTATTGGTGGTCTTAACTGGGACACCACAGAGGATGGAATGGTCGCTTACTTCTCGAAGTACGGAGAAATTCTCGACTACACGATCATGAAGGATTCGAATACTGGTAGATCTCGTGGTTTTGGGTTCTTGACCTTTAAGGACCCTCGTGCGGTTGATGAAGTAATCAAAAAAGATCACATTTTAGATGGTAAACTAATTGACCCAAAGAGGGCCATTGCCAGAGAAGAGCAAGATAAGATTGGAAAGATTTTTGTCGGAGGTATCGATCCCTTAGTTAATGAAAAAGACTTCAACGATTTTTTCTCTCAGTTTGGCCGTATTATTGATGCCCAACTAATGATCGATAAGGATACCGGCAGATCTAGGGGTTTCGGTTTTATCACTTACGATTCACCAGAGGCCGTAGATAAGGTTTGTCTCAACAAATATTTGACCTTGAAGGGTAAGGCTATGGAGGTCAAGCGAGCTGAGCCTCGCGGCCAACATCAACAGAATCAAAATCAACAGCAACAACAACAACAACAACAACAACAACAACAACAACAAAATCAGTATAACAACCCATACGCGAATGCTTATGGTCAATATCAAATGCAGTTCGGACAAAACCAGCCAAACTTTGCGGGTGCCACCCCTGAAATGATGCAAGAATACTGGCAAAGAATGCAGTGGTACATGTTCCAGCAGCAACAAGCTGGTGTGTCGGCTCTGCAAAATGGCGATGAGCAATCAGGTGAACAACCAAATCAACAGCCATTGAACCCCCAGCAACAATCTTCTAGAGGGGATACCCCCCAAGAGCCAGCTGGGACCAACGCTCCCTCCAATGTAATTTCCAGACTTCCACAAGGGCCTGCTGCAGCCCGTTCCGATGGATCTCGTACGGGTGGCCGCAGAGACCGGGGTGATAGTGACAGCGATAGTAATGGTCGCAGACTCAACCTTCCGAAAGGCCCTAGAAGAGGCGGGAATAATGCCAGTGGTGGGGGCGGAAGTAAAGGAAGTAGAAGTGGCTACAAGAAAGGCGGCTACCATCCATACGGCCGTGGAAGTAGAAGATGAATAGCATGTTACAGGCAGGCTAGTTTGATTACTACGATAGCGAAAGGAAAATCTTTCATCAAAGAAAAAGAGGAAAAAATAACACACAGAAAGAAACATAGATGAAGATATTAAATATGCAGTTTTCAGATTGAAGATCATTCTCACAAAGAGCACCAGCATGATCTTGTACTCCAATGATACGATCTAGCTTATAGTAAAATATTGCTCGTGCAAAGGAATATGAAAAATTGTTGTTAAGGTGAGATATTGTAGGTGAGTTTAGCTGATACGGAACTTACCTCCTTCTACCTCCGCTCTTACCTCCGCTCTTGCCTCCGCTCTTGCCTCCGCTCTTGCCTCCGCTCTTGCCTCCGCGTCCATTCTTCGCTTGCTTTTTCTCCATCAACTGTCTGGACTTTCTTATGTCCTCAGTAGACCTTAATTCCTGTCTCTGACCAGGTTTATTGAAACCCTTGACTTTCCTTCCAGATTCCACAGCCTTGTCCACCTTCTTCTTTTGCTTGTGATAGTCGTCTCTATACTTATCAGGTGCTCTTGGAGCATCAACCTTCTTATGCTTGAAACGCCTGCTGCCCTTCTCGTTATTTTGCTCCTCAGAAACAGCTGCGCCGAATGCACCAATATTTCTTTGCTTCTTCCAATGATCAAACTTTCCGGATTTGAAGGTTGCAGGAATTCTTTGACCACTCTCTCCGATAATATATTTCTTCCCCTCCACAGATTGACTGTTGATATATTTTCCCTTTTTCTTGTCCCATTTCATCACTTGGGAATTTTTTTGCAATTTATCGTCATTCTCCAAGTCAAAAGTAGCTTTAGCAGCATCGTTCGCGAAAGAATTAGGGACTGAGAATTGCTGATCTTGAATTTCTGAGGCAGGTGCATGGTGACTGATGAAAAACTGCGGGTCTCTATAAGACTTCTTCTTTTGTTTTTGCTTTTGATGCAAGACACTGTCACCGTCTTCGAAAGCATTGGCCAATTCATCGTCATCTGCCTCAATATCCACCACATTGTACCCGACTTCGCCTGATTCCCCCTTCAAGATTTCGTCTTGAACTGTATGACTCAAGCCAGCCAATCTCTCTTGCTCCAATAATTCTCTTCTCTCCTTGGCCTTTCTTTGAATAGGCGCAAGTTGGCGTCTTCTCCTGTTCATCAAGGTGACCATGGAATCCTCTTCCTTCTCCTTTCCCTTCTTAGTAAATTCAAAAACGGTTTCTTTCACTCTTCTATTCTGGAGCTTGGCGAGAAAATTGTCTTTTTCTTTTTCCATGTTGGGACCGAAAAGCAAGTGCTGCTCATCCCAAGAACCCGTTTGCAAAAGCTCCTTGGATCTCTTGACAGATTCTGCTGATGCAGCTTGCCTGGTTCGGTAGTAAAGTCTTTCTCCCTTGACTGCAACATCTTTTATCACTTTCAAATCGTAGTTGCTCTTTATCAAAGTGTTGTACATTTCCTCGACAGGCTCCAATTGATCTCTAGGGAGAGCGCCAAGAACCATGCGATCGGTGTATGAGATTTTTGGCTCCACATAATTGTCTCCTTTTTGAGCCTTGAGTAATTCACACTTCTTTTCGTGCATAGAGGTGAGCAAAATTTTCTTTCCCAAGAACAACTCGATGTCAAGCAAGTATGGTAACTCACTCTCACTTACAATAGAGTAAGCCCATCCTTTGTTCCCAGCCCTCGCAGTTCTACCGACTCTGTGGATAAAGATTTTGGAGGAAGCTGGCAAAGTGAAATTAATCACATTAGCTAACACAGGAATGTCGATACCACGAGCAGCTACATCTGTCACAACCAATAAATTCGTGAGGCCAATTCTAAACCGGTACAATTGTTCACGTCTTGCACGTTGGTCCAAAGAGCCATAAATGTACGAGACGAGGAATCCAGCTTCTCTCAACATCTGTGTGACAAATTCAACATGATGCTTCGTGGGTACGAAGACAATTGTGGAGTGTGGGGATGGCAAGACATTAGCTGGGGGAAGCCTTTCTTTCTTGAACTTTTTGCGCTTCTTTGAAGCGTCGTGGTTGTCATCTTCATCGTCAGTGACATCATCAGCTCTTTTACTCTCCCTCTTGATTCTGGCAAGTTCTTCTGGAGAAGGCAAAGGGATCTTGATGACGTTTTGGATAATGCACAACAACGCAGCCTCTCTTTCTGTCTTTTTAACAGAAAAAAAGCCCATTTGCAAAAGTTCGGAGATTTTTGTTTCTGCATCAAGTCTAATCAAAACGGGGTTGGTCAATCCCGCCTTAGCAAAATCAATAAGAGAACGCGGAAGCGTGGCAGAAAACAAAAGCGACTGTCTATTCAGGGGGAGGGCAGCCAAAAGTTCGTTAAGCTGCTCAGCGAAACCCATCTCGAATAATCTATCGGCTTCGTCAAAAACAATGTACTCCACAGTTCTCAAGTCTAGATCCATCTCGACTTTCAAATGCAAAAATCTACCTGGAGTAGCGACAATGATATCTGGATTTGACATCATTGAAGAAAATTGTTCCTCCATGGCATCACCACCAATGAGGACCACGGAACGCAAATCTGTGCCCTTACTGAACTCTTTGACCTGCTTAAACGTCTGTAACGCCAATTCTCTGGAAGGGGAAAGAATAACGGCTCTAGCACCAACCTTGGCATAATGGGCCTTCAATTTCTCAATCACAGGCAATGTGAATGCAGCTGTCTTACCTGAACCCGTCCTGGCCATACCCACCACATCTCTATTTTCCATAATTAAAGGGATAGTCTTTCTTTGGATGGGCGTGGGCTGTTTGTATCCTTTTCTAGCAATATTTCCCAAAATAAATTTCGAAAGTCCGAAGGAGGCAAATGTTCCAGCCTTGGCCTTCTTGGCAGTGGGGTTGTTTACAGCAAAGTAAGATGCGATATCTTGCGAGTCCTTTTTCCCCAGCTCCTCGTCATCGGAAAGCTCCATCGATGGCATAGCTAATTTTTCGCTGAGTTTGGTGACTTTCTGCTTTTTCTTAGCCGGGAGTTGATCCTCGGCTTCGTCTTCATCATCGCTAATGATGTCTTGAAGTTCCTCATTATCCGAAAAAGCGTCTGAATCTGACCCTGAATCGGAGCTGAAGCCAGAGTCTGAGGCATCGTTCTTTGCAGCAAGTGCAAGAGAGCCTGCGATATCAAAACCTTCGTCGTCTGACATTACTCTACGATGCTTGGTGGTTTGATAAATTTCTTGAAAAAGGCAGAGTTGAGAAATACCGAAGAGCATCGCAGGAGTCGGATTACTGAATGCAGTACACAATGGGGTGCTGACAACTGGGATTCGACTGCAATTGTGGGAAGAATAACTTTTGCAGCTAATCATAGAAAATATAATGTGTATTTTCATGTTTATTAAGTCTTCAATCATCTAGATATTTAAATTGCATCTCACGAAAATACGATTCTTTTGGGGGCTTCTTATCAACGGTTTCGCCATGTTGCGCTCCGTATGGACTGTGTACTTTCAAGAACGAATACACAGTCAACTCACCTCCCGATCAAATATCTTTTTTAGCGAATATCTGCACGAAAAAAATAAGCACACATCTGTTTCAATGACTCCCGACGGCTTGGCAAAAGTGTCTTTCCAGACAACACATGAACTCTTGGCTGCGTACGTTGAAGCTGCTATTAAGATGAAGGTTTTTTAGTATATTTCGGAACCCACAAGCGCTTGATACAGAAACACCTTCAAGACCTGAAGATATTAAACAATCTTAGTTGACCACCAGAATTCTGATTGAGCCGGCTCTTTCAAATGTCGTAGCTGACTTAAAATATGCCAAGGTTATGTCATAATAGTCTCGAATTCGTCCATATTCTCCAATTCATCCTGCTGAGTAACCTTTTTCACCACTTCTCGCTTTGAAGATTCCACAACATGACCATCTAGGATCAATTCATCTAAAATATGATAGGCCTTGGAAAATCCAAAAATGATGTCCAACTCACAAACGTTGCCATACAACTTGTCCATTTGCTCTACGTATCGATGAATCACTTCAAGTGCTAATAATCCATTGTCCAGTGCATCGATACCCATGACAAAGAACAACGATGCATACCGACGATACACAATCTTCATATCCTTGTATTCTAGTATATTGCACATCTTGGCTCTTCGAGACAAGATAATGGTGGTCAATTCTCGAGTGATCTTGGCCTTTTCCTTTTGACTGCTGGCATGATACCATTTGGACAATCGGACTTTTCCTTGTCTCGATAATAAAAGTGTAAATGTGATTGCCATGATGAAGACTAGCGTTTTCCTGATACTTTGCTTATAAACTCCTGCTACGTATGGAAAAGCTATGTTTGAGAACTTCACGCATTTCGAAAGCGGGATTGTGCATGCAGGGGTGCTCACGCAGCTGAGTCTGCGTGCACTTTGCGATTCGTGAGCATACTCCCAGGTAGTAAATTCAGAAGCCACTCGAATCAATTTTGAGTCTGAATTGATATAATATTAATTGTCGTAGAAGCGTTTGCAAAAATAAAAATTATTCTGTAGATATGTCCTGGTATGCTTGTCGCATTTATTCCAACTTGTCAACCGTATTCGTCAAATGCCTGATTTGAGCTGCTATTTCAGCACATAAAAATTTTCGATTCACATTCCTAAAATGGTCAATCTCCAATTTTTCCGAACAAAGTATCGCATCCATTTGTTTCCAGATATCCATTTCCAAATCTGTTCCCGTGCGCCATCTCAAACCCCATCCATACAACCGGTGTCTACCGGTTGCATCTAGTGTCTCACCGGCTTCTCTTAGAGCCCAGGGATCTAATTTTGGGTAATTAGCATGAAGAAATAACATTCTAGGATCGCCAACTTTACCCAATGCATCTTTTAGCTCAGTTCCCTCAAGTGTGGCAAATAAATCCTGTTTTTGTAGATTTTTATTGTAATCATCAACAGGATCATATTGTCCCATGGCATGTCCCTTGTATTCTCCATTTTTTACGTTTCCAAGCGAAGTTAAGAACTTCCCAACTTGATAGAATGACTTCTTGAGAACTACCGTTGCGGCAAGAAACGTTTCTTTATCACCCTCACCTGGCGTTCCTTGCGAAAAAATTGGGTAGAAAAATTTCGGACCGTATGAGTTGTAATACAACGCAAGAAGTACAGCTTTGAGGTGAGACTTTTTGGAAACCATGAGCTGGCCAGATTCCGAAGAGGGGTCAGGAATCGTTCCCACACGCTCATGGTATGGAACCTCGGTGAACCAATTGACTTTACTAGATGTTGATTGTGGCTGATAAAATCCAAATTTTTCAACGTACTTCGGAAGAAGTTCTTTCTTACTGACCTTTTCACCAGCAATTTGATAAAAACTTGGCGATGTGGATCTCCGCCAAAAATCAGGCCAGACAACCAAGCCACTCGACAAAAATGGCTCGTTCTTAAACAAGTGTTCTGGAGAGAAGGCTGCTATATTGTCGCTGTCTAACAACAAGACATTTTCAAAACTTGAAATAAGGATGGCAAGTGATTTATACTGATACCCTTTAAACGACAAGCTGGAAGCGAACTCCAAGTCATCTCCATAAAGTTCCATTGGCAAGAACATACATTTAGCATTCAAAGCAGGAAAAACCTTGGTGCATAGCTCCATGTCGTACTCTTTCAATGTGGGAATTAGTATCTCAACAGGTAGCTCGCACCCTTTGGCCCTCAAGGTTCTGATTGATAGCAAAGTGAGCCAATTGAATTTACCACCTCCAACGAACACAATACCATCACCCTTGTACAATCCTGCAGGTCCATCTTCAGGTAGATGATTCATCATGTATTTGTGAGAGGCAGTCAATGCTTTCAATTCAGAGTCACTCAATTGAAGAAAAGAAGAGAGATATTTCTCCGAGAAAAGTGGGTCGTACTTTCCGTCATCATATCGTTCAGAACTGCAGAAAGTATCATCTTTGTAGTTCTCCAATTTGTTTTCAATCTCAGGTTTCGCATTTATAATATCCTTGAATATGTTTTTGTAAAATGCATGCGCTGTGGCAAGTCTTGCCGAATCGGAGTGCCCCGAGAATGTTTTTATGTGCCCGAGTTTGATCTTTTCAGCTTTGGTTAGATGTGCATCAAAAGAAATTTTCTTCCCACCTTGTTTGATATCTTTGGGTTCGTCTTTTTCGTTGTTAATTTTCTGCTGTTGTCGGCTGGTGTCGCTATTGATTGATGAAGATAATTGTGGATTAAACGGCTTGTTACTGTCATAGTCTACAAGACCGAAAGTAGACCTCCAATTACACATGAAAGATGGAAGCAATCCACATTCTTTCTTGGGATCCTTCACGAATGGCAAGCTGTCCTCTTCGAAGTCTCTCCAGAAGTAGAGAAGTGAGAACACGACCAGCAACAATAACGCTGCTGCCACTATCGAGAGACTTTTATGACGCCGTCTTTGTAGCCGAAGACGAAGAAACAAACTCTGAAGAAACCTCATAGGTAAGCCGGGTGATGATGTCTGTTGTGTAGGCTTATGGAAATCGAGCACTAGTCAATGAGACGGACGTGACAAAAAAGAAGAGCAAGAAGAAGTCGCGTCGATGATGGCAGAGCCTGGGCACTTAAGAGTTATATATATGGGATCCTTGTCTCAGAGGGATTAGAATCAAACCTCAGTGGAAGCTGCGTGATCTAGCTAGAAAATTGCGTAAATCTATCCGAGTTTTCGTTTGGCAGAAAGAGTCTCAGACCTGGCCCGGTCCACCGCGCACAACAAAGTATACAAAGTTTAGCACCCGCGCTAAAAGTTAGCTTGGCTCCCTACCAGTGCGTCTGGCACCGGTAGATGTATCCTTCTTTTTCTCATGATCATTATTTCCATTTTATGAATTAGGATGATTGATTTAGTTTTCTATTGACAGCAGATTATCCAATGAATTCGCGTTTCCAAATGAAGCTATGATCATCAATCAGGCAGAAATGGCCCCAGGTAATTCTGGTATATTTAGATCAGAATCATATAGGCTGGCACTAATGACTTTACTCAGGTGCCATTATGAGATATCACTTATTCGTTACTTTTGTTTCGGATACGCGAGCTCACAATACTTGTATCCTTTGGTCTTTCTTTATTCGGCTCTTTCTTATGCCGGATGCATTGTGGTTCGGTTTCCAGTCGATGCGAATGCAGGCATTATGAAAAGTCGGCATTCTGTAGATTTAGTTACTCCAATTGTCAATGCTACACGAATGCACAACTCAAAAACAGTTTGGAAACAAGGAAACTGCCTTACCTTCAGGAAATCCCTCTAGCTTTGTGTTTCTACTGTCCTCAGATCTATACAGATCTATAAATAGCTCGCGTGAGACAACGCGCAACAGGATAGCGCGTTCCTTCCGAGGAAATAGTAGGTAATGCAAAGTCATCAAGATGGTCGCTTTATACAGTAAACATTTTGTTTTGAAAAACTAACAATAGACTCGCATTGTGATACATTGTTGCCAATGATTGAAGTGGGTCTGCCGCGAACTTCTCGCCTTGCCCTCAAGAACTGTTCAGCCTACTTTGTGAATTCTTTCACATTTTTTAATGAAATTTTACTTGGATACGTAGTTTGTAAGGCTAAAGGTTTGGATTGTATAAATATAGATATGAGATTACCTTATAAAGAGCTATGGTTTTTGAGGTACTCTTTCTGTTTTCAATTATATCTCAATGATCATAATATATTGCTATATATAATACTGTTCTCTGTTTTAGCCAGGGTATTTATACGTCTGACTTGGGCCGGCACCTATCAAAATCTAGAAAAAAATGGGTAGAAAATATCATGTAATTTCTAGCACAACATAAGGAGGTTGTGCAAAAAGCCTGGTTTAAAAGAATGCCGAAAAATATGAGTGAACAATGTTATTGCTTCGCAATATTACTTGTGTTTAGAATCGTGACATGGCATCTGATGGTTTAAATATCTTCTGTTTCATTCTAAGAGACTTAAGCGAGTGAATGAAGAGCAAAATTTGTCAACGTCGCGTACGGCAGAGGCTAACGAAAAGCACACTATTGCGAATATCACTGGGCGATTAATTCAATTTTGCTCGTGTATGGTCCCACGTTGCCAACGTGCGTACTGGCCGATTGTAGCGCGGGGCGCAACCAAAAATATCTCAGGCATCAACTGCCGGGAACAAGGAATACAATAAGGATATACAAGCGACGTGTCATGCTGGGCCATGATAAGTTTCAGCCGACGCGTTTGGCTTCCTACAAGTCATACTTTTTCTGTATGCCTGGGATGCACTATTTATCAATCTCATACGCGGGGTCCATCAAATTATTTCTAGTTTGACATAGCTTGCACCTATTCGCGTCATGGGCCATTTCCTACCTACAAACAGCGTGCGCACGGCACGGCTATCTACTCAGAAAAAAGCGAGTGAAAACCCACTCTTTGTCACCTATATCCTCTTTCTTCTGACGTCCGCATTGTTTCAGACCAACAGAGGATATACACACTTAATACATATTAAAATCTTCCAGGTTAGTTTTGGAGTGTTCAGTTCCGCAACACAGAGCACGCCGCTTTTGCCTCCCTCGGAAACTCGCGCCAGGCTTTCGTTATTCCTCACATCTGGACCTCGTGACCTCGCCAAATCTCTTATAAATTTCCAGGATATCGTCATAGAAGAGAATTAAAAGGAGACCCAGTCGGCTGTTGATTACTCGAGGAACAAAAGCTCGATTGGCATAACATAACCCCATGATCCACTTCCCACTCAATACTTGTAGTGTGCTGAAGAATGGCGATCCCAAGTGAAACTCCATTAATCGACAACGGCGCCCCTGCTGTCACAGGCAGAAAAGCAGCTCGTTCCTTGAAGTTGTTCCGTGGGGATGGCGTCAATTTAGGTGCCCTTATTGATATTGAGGACCACCACCACTCGGAGTACACAAGAACATCTCCTCATGAGAATACGTCATCAAATAAGTCCGCCAAGAACTTAGGGCCAGGCCCTGAGCTGCTCCAGCCCATGCTTGAGCCGGTGTCCTCAGCCACCTATTTTCCCCACACCCCCATGAACGACAACCTTGATTTACAGGCAGAGGCGCACTTGCCACAAAACGACGACTCCGAAGTAGACCATCTACAACACCTAATGGCTGATTTGGAATTCGATAGAGGCTCTCATGGAGAGCTTACGAAGATAAAGAAGCACTCTCGCGATGAGGTTGAGCTTCAGTTGAGATCGAAGAGCACGGCTGAGAAAGAAACCAAAGACCGGCATCAGAAAACCGACAAAGAAGATGCCATATCCGTGAATGAAATATATCCTTTATCTGTTGAGCTACGGCCATTCAAGAATAAAGTTGGGGGACATACTGCGATTTTCCGTTTCAGCGAGAAGGCCGTTTGTAAGGCATTGATGAACAGAGAAAACTTATTTTATGAGGCAGTCGAACATAAACATCTAGGGCTTTGGAGGTTCATGCCCAAGTATATTGGTGTGCTCAATGTACGTTACTCTAGCATCGTGCGTGAAGAGGAATCGGCCCCTCAATCAGCGAATATCAGTTTACCTGAGGAGAACCATGGTGCATATGAATCTACAGAGCTTCAAGACAACGGCATGCCTGACACTCGATCAGCTACAGAGTCCTCACTGCTACACAAGCGTGGAATTTCTTTCCACGACAACACAAAGCAGACAAGCAGGTCTTTTTCAAGGGATGACCTTCCTCCGGAGGTTTCGCTTGACGACAACCGCCATATGATTCCAGATCTTTTATGGAAACAATTTTCCAGTAGTGCGCCGAGCTCGTCTTCGATAGACGATTTTGTACACTCCCCCGAATTGTGTCCGACAAATTCATCAGATTTGAATGACGCACAGAACTTCAGCATTGGATCCACTTCAGTAAATAGAGACTTGCAGGCACAAGTCATCCAAGAGGTCTTTGTTCCACAGAGCAGAAGATCGGAGGAAGTGTTTCATATGGATGATGATGACCAAGTTCATGTGGATAGTGATACTTTGGGTAAACATCCCGATATGCCGGTTTCAAGAGAGTTGATCAACCCCGTTTTGAGGAAACATACGCGTTTCGAGCGTTTCATCTTACTCGAAGATTTGACTGCAGACATGCAAAAGCCTTGTGCTTTGGATTTGAAAATGGGAACTCGTCAATATGGAGTTGAGGCAAGTGATTCCAAACAAATGTCCCAGCGCAAAAAATGTGCCTCAACGACATCGAGGCAGCTTGGGGTACGAGTCTGTGGTTTACAAGTCTGGAACAAAGCCACACAGTCATATTATATGAAGGACAAATACTTTGGGAGAAAGCTCAAGAGAGGAATGCCATTTGCTAAGATTTTGGCTAAATTTCTCTTTGATGGCATCAGTACGCTCTCCATAGTGAAAAAGATACCACTTATCATCAAGCAGTTGGAAGAATTGTACCTATCGTTCGAGGATTTGAAGGGTTACCGAATGTATGGTTCTTCTGTGCTTTTAATGTATGACGGTGCAGCCCCGCTGCTGACTGAAGGCATTAACGTTCACATTATTGACTTTGCTCAGAGCGTTATTGGTGATGACGCGAGCACGTACAGAGTGCCACCAGCGCATCCTTCACTTCCAGACATGGGCTATCTCAGAGGATTGAAGTCACTCATCTATTACTACAAGCAAATTTTCAAAATTGTCTCTGGAGTGAGCTATGACAGCACGGTATGTACCCATGCGTTTGAAGAGGTATTAGGAAATTCACCAGACAAAGACAGCTTCTGGCAACGACTCTTTGCAGACGACGATACAGAAGGACTTGGTGATCAGGAAACCGATCCTTTTGACATCCCGTACCCGGTAGAGGATGATGAAGAGGGAATTTCCGAGTAAATCTATTGAACCGCTGGAAATATATACTCACGGAATAAAGGGTGGAAAAACACGTCTCGCTGTGCGGTGTTCTTAAAAATACAGTGTTGATTCTTTATTTAGTAAATAGTATATGCATCCCTAAAGAAATAATACCACAATGATACTATTTAATTAACAAAAATCAAAGGATTATTATCGGGGGACAAAAATTCTTTTAGGGTCGTCAAGGCATCAAAGAGAAACTTACTCGGCGTTTCTCTTAGCAACCTTCTTGGCGTGGGTTGTTTGGGTACCGAAGATCTTCTTATCTCTGTTCTTCTTTTGCTTTCTTTGTTGTCTGGAAGCCTTCTCGACCTTCTCAGCCAAGCCGTATCTGACCAATCTGTAAGCTGGCTCGAATCTCTTGGCGTCAGCAACGGATTGGTAGATCAAACCGAAACCGGTAGACTTTCCACCACCGAACTGGGTTCTGAAACCGAAGACAGAGACAGCGTCCTTGTCAGCCTTGTACAACTCAGACAATCTCTCTCTCAACTCGTCCTTGGAGACGTTGGCTCTGTTTGGGTGCAAGACGTCAATGACGAACTGTCTTCTAGCCAACAAAGGGTTGGTGATAACCTTTCTAGTTCTGATAGTAACGGAGTCACTCTGTAGAAGTTAGTATTAATGAGCCTGCAGAACGGCATGTCACGGTCTGAGTTTGTTTAAATTTACATCAAAACCAATTCAGTTCTATCCCGATAGGCGAGGTTTAAAGAACCCAGCCTCTAAGGACAGACCCACTTCTTTTTTTAACTCAAGGGGCAAGTTGTATATCCACTCAGAGGTGGTCGCTGACCTCGATCAACTCTTCGGTAAAGCGAAGACATGAAGGAGCAGGCATCTGAGTTCCGTCGGTATCCTAATCCATTATGGAAGCGTCCTTATTACCGGGTATCTCGGGTCGTAACATGTATACGCATTTTGAGAGCACATACCATCTTGTCAATATTGGTGGAAGTTAGGTAGAACGGTGGAACGAAAATTTTTGGCAAAAAGTTTTTGAATTTTCCCGGGAGCGAGCGTGAGGCGCATATCTGCAGGACTGGACCGCCAGGGACAAGCAAGAACACAGTCACAGTGCTCACGTGAACAGCGCGCACCTGACGTGCTCTGCAGGCTAGCTGATCTTGCGGCGAGGAAGTAGATCACTCGATGAAGCTGACAGGCTCCACGGAAATAAAGAATTGGTCACTTGCAGCTTGATTAAAAGTGGTCGGCGCAAGGATCTAAGCGGAATGCCTTCTGGCATATATTCACTTGGGCTTACACGGCGTGCTTTCAAATAAGAATTGATAGCATGTTGTGCTGTACTCGACAGTTTATCATATGATGGCTAAGTATGTCTATTACCGAATAAGGCATCAGAAATTTCAAGCTTTCTAGGAATGTCACCCATCCTTTCCCAGGAGGGACCGGTGTGAAGCATAATTACGAGCAAGCTTGTAGATTTGAAAAAGGTTCGATTTGTATGAATGTTTGCTACAAAGTATGTCGCATCCACTTAGTGAAGAGCCATTCTCACAGCCTTGACTTGGGTGTAGTTGTCCAACACAGCAGAACCCATCTCCCTGCCGATACCAGAGCTTCCAAAACCGCCGAAAGGAACCATAGGGTGGAAGTCGTTGTATGTGTTGACCCAAATGGTACCTGCCCTGATTCTTCTGGAGACATCAATACAGGTGTTGACATTGGTGGACTGGATACCAGCGGCCAAGCCGTATTCACTGTCGTTGGCCATCTTGACCACCTCGTCCGTGGTCTTGAACTTGTGCACAGTAATCACAGGGCCGAAAATCTCCTCGGTGACGATTTTCATGGACTCGGTCACATCACCGAAGATGGTTGGTTTGACGAAGAAACCTTTGCCCTCCGATCTCTCTCCACCGCTCAACAAAGTAGCACCCTCCTCCTTACCAGATTTGATGTAGCCCAAGATCTTGTCCAACTGGTTCTGAGAGTTCTGGGCACCTTGCATAACCTCCTCGTCGAATGGGTTGCCGACCTTGACGGCTTCAGCAGCAGCAACAAACTTCTTGACGAATTCCTCGTAGATTCCCTCTTGGATGTAAAGACGAGAGCCGGCACAGCAGACTTCGCCCGAGTTGTAGAAAATACCAGTGATCACATTCTGAACGGCCACGTCAATGTTGGCGTCATCGAAGATAATGTGAGGCGACTTGCCGCCCAACTCCAAGGTAACCTTCTTCAAAGTCGAGGAGCATTTCTTCATAATCAATTTTCCGGTGGCAGTAGACCCAGTGAAGGCCACTTTCTTTATCATAGGGTGCTCGGTGATGGCGTTTCCGGTGGTTCTACCGAAGCCATTCACCACATTCAAGACACCAGCAGGGAGAACTTGTTGCTCTTGCAACAACTTGCAGAGGTACAAAGCGGACAAAGGAGTAGTTTCGGAGGTTTTCAAGACAATCGTGTTGTTGGTGGCAAGAGCAGGGCCCACCTTCCAGGTGAACATCAACAATGGGAAGTTCCAAGGGATGATCTGGCCACAGACCCCCAAAGGTTCTCTTCTGGTAAAGTTGAAGTGCGACTCGCCGGTTTCAACCACGGATCCAGTGATTTTGTCAGCCCATCCCGCGGTGCTTCTGAAGCAGCCAACTGCCAAGGCAACGTCGCCTCTGGCGTTGGAGATAGACTTACCGTTGTCAAAAGCCTCGATGGAGGCAAAGAGCTCGGCGTTTTCCTCGATGATATCGGCGATTTTGTTCAACGCCTTTGCTCTGACAGATGGGTCGGCAGCGGACCAGCCGCCGTCGAACGCAGCCTGTGCAGCTTGAACTGCGGAGTCGACATCCTCCTCCAAAGCCTCATACACGTGGGCAACCTCTTCCTCAGTGGAGGGCGAGATGACTGCAAAGGACTTCTTCTGCGCAGGGTGCACAAACTCGTTGTTGATGAACAAGCCAGTTGGCTGCTCGTACTTGAGCCCGTTAGGAAGGGTGATTGGGACAGACAAAGGCAAGTTGGAGTAGAGTCTGGCCATTGCGGGGGCGATCGCCCGGGCTGGCATTGCTTTAAAGGTGGCTGATTTCATCATTGTGCGTAAAGAATGAAAGAAACCCTTCGATGGTAAAAAAAATCCTGACCATCTGGTGGAATGGGGGGTGTATTATATAGTTTTTGAGGTGATGCCTTAGCGGCCAGGGGAGCCGGTATAGGAGGCTAGCGCGTCCCCTCATTAAAGGGCATGTTTACATGCGCGGCCGGGCGAGTTGGTCCAAAGCCCGACACGGACTGAACATAAGTGGCCACGTTCGGCCTTAAGCAACGTCACAATATCCCCGTATGCCTGCACCTTGCCGCCACGAAACACCGGCAGCGAGAACATGGACCATCTCCCCTGCCCAAAATACCAAAGAAGCGAAACCCAGACAATTCGGGGCAGAAAACACAGCACGTTGACGGCCACCTCTGGATCGGTGAGTATCCGCGGAACACGGGGCAAGGGAAACGTCAAGGCCAAATAGCCGGTGGAGCGTCACTTAATCTCTCGTCATCCGGATCCGTGTTTGTGAGAAGCGGCCGCATTCCCCTCTTCGGATCCAACAAAAAATATATTGCCGTGGACACTCTCCGAATTTGAGTTTTGGCTAATTTACCCTGTGCGGTTCACTTTCGGACAAGCCTTACTCTCATTTAATTTTATTCATTAAGCAACAAAAGAGGCGTGTTGAGGCTTTTTTTTATCTGGGTTACAGCCCCAGATAAGGTCTAGATGAATCGTGGATTGAACGGCTTGACCACCCGCTGGCTGTACTGGTGGAGAAACATCCCCACAATGTCCTGCACATCACCACGGAGTTAGGGCGCCGGGCCGTACTCTCGCTTGGCACACCTGTGACCACTGTAGCTGGTGATCGGACATAAGCCCCTGCCCAAAGGCGTTTGCACTCTACCTTCTGTTGGTTCCGCCCCACAAATAGCCCTCGGACTTACGCGCAAAGTCCGTCTCTGGCATTTATAACCGCACTCTTCACTGCCACTATTCTCGCTACGAAGATTTCTCGCATGAAGAAACAAAATTGTAGGTCAAAAGGCTTCCGGGGTATACTTCATCTCCACTCCTCTATAAATTTCTGGCATTTCATGCTGGAAGCCCGCTTGACATACACCACCGTACCGTTCCTTTTACATATCATGCTGGTCCAAGCAACCGCTGACTAAGCGGTTGCAGGATGTCGCGGCGCGTTGGCGTTTAAACTCCTCCATCTCTTCTCAACGGAAAGCTCCTGCACATCTCTCAAGTACTCTGTAAATACCAGTCGGTAACTTCGATGTCCCAGACAAAATGGATCAGAGGCCCCATATGTGGCATCGACAACTGTCGCTCTAGGCTTTACAAGCGGGACGCTGGACGCAAGTTCTGCCAGTTCGGCCACATTGCGGAGGGTGATCTTGACATCGAGGACGAAGATGGGGAATCTTATACTCAGACAAAACGTTTGAACATCCACTTTACAGACACGGGCTTCGGCTCGCAAGCCTCTTCAAAAGCTACCAATGATGCTTCTATTTTGGCAAATCTGGGCGACAAGAGGCTTTACGGCACAGACGGCCTTGTCCACCAATACAAATGCTTTCAGTATATTTTGCGAGATGTCACACCAAAAGTGGTTCGGCATCTCTATGGCGCTTTTGGCAGCACCGCTGTCGAATCTCTTATTGCCGCTGCGGATCCCATACTAAAGCTTCTTTGGGTTCGCTTCGTGAAACAGACGTTTGGCAATACCACCCCAAGCGTGAGCGAGTTGTACATTCTCATCTATTTGGCGCTCCGCCAATTAAATCGCTACCCTGTTTTCATCGATCAGTACATTGAAATGGTTTCACAGAACAAGGTACCTGTTCTCAATGCCCTTTCTCTCCTTCCTCCTGATATGAGAATCCTTTTGCCAGTGAGTTCTGCCGCGGTTTTCTCTCCGTCAAAGGTACTAGTGGAAGATGCATTTTACGTGTTGCTAGCGAAGTGGTCTACTGACCTTGACCTCCGCAACGTCTGTGCTACGCCTCTTGACTACTCGTACCCCATAGTTTTCAAGCTTCTTACTGATCTTCGTATCCCACATGCCCCTCAGTTACTCGCAGTATACCACGAACTTGCTCTGGAGATCACTCTTGGGGTTCTCAAACAGCAAAGCTTATATTCTATTCTGACCGTTCCGGAGATACAGATTCTTGGATTGGTCCAGTACGTACTCCATCTCTATCTCCTCGCCTCGCCAGAAATCTTCCACATACAACAGTGGATACAGTGGATTGAACAAGATCAAGAGCTTCCTTGCTTCAGGAATCGAAACCACAACATGCCCATCGATGAAATTGTGTGCTTGTCCAAGAAGCAGATCTCAAAGTACCTTGACTGGGTCCATGAGAATATAATTCCGCCGAAGTACAAAGACCCAGAAACAGAGGAACTATCAATCATGGATAAGAAACTAAACAAAATCTTTGAGTTTAGATCCGGTAATGAGGCACCAACAAGCCATATTCTGAAGCCTCCGCTCAAGTTGGTGGAGAACGACTTGAGCGCCTCTGACAGAGCGCGAATCGAAAATCACATCAGGAACTACGTATGTGCCAGATATGGTGTAAAGTCTTCCACTCTCCGAGGGGTGTATGACAGAATAGATGGTAACCTTCGTCAAAGACTCAAATGATGGTTGCCCGAACTATAAAAAGACCGTCGCAAATACAATGTTAGTGTCAGGAGAGCTGGTCTCTCAGAGGCTTGAAGCAGAGTTCGCCTAGATGTGCTTCGCTGGAGCAATTCTTTTATATTTTTAAAAATTGATTCAAAAAGTTTCGAATTGAACCGGTTTCTCGTCACGGAAGGCAGATGCTTACGTCTGAGAGTCAACAGCTAACCCAACTCTCGCGTGCTTGAAATTTAGACAGTTTCAGCCTAAGATAGTTCCCGATAGTTATATACTTTGACTGCTCATAAAGATGAATTATATTTTTTTCACCAATAATTGTACTCATACATGCAAACAATTTGTGGTCTTCAATCATCTGTCAATCGATGTGTTCCATCTGAAATGCGGGGCTCATCAGGTCGCTCGATGCGCGTTCTCGAAATACACAAACAATATATTTACCAGTGGCATTTTGCTATCAGATGGCAATGAGCAGTGCAGAAGCAGACCCAACAGAAAGTTCCAAGGTAGGAATGAGTGACACTGCATTGCCCTCCTATCATGATGGGCAATCAGAAAACATACATCTACAGGATGACCTTTTGCAAGACTCCCAGAATCAAGATGAACTCTCATTAGCTGCTGAGCCTGATTTGGAAATCTCACGTGAACAAACCCCAGATACGGTAGATGAAGCTGCATCTTCATACACAGATCTGGTACCCGGATCTCCGGGTTCAGGCAATGAGGAAGGTCAGAATCATAATGCCGCATATCTCTTGGATACAGATCGAGCCGTTGTGAAAAAAACAATAACAGACGGGAGTCCAGAAAATGTACAGAATATCCCGTTGGCTGTGAAAGAAACGCATAGAAAAAGAGTCACGAGTAAGCTAATCGAAAAGCAATGGGAAACGTTGGGAAACGAGACCTTCACGTCATTTGAGAAATTATGTGGTATTTCCATGAACAATGTGCTCGAGAGATTCACACACTCCAAGCAAAGTCACTCGAAAATATCCGAAACACAACGAATCTTGACACAACACTGGCTCAGTACTAAACTACCCAAATCTTTTTCCGCGCGTTTAAAAGTAACAAAGCTACCCCCACTGAAATCTTTGATTGTGAGAATGAGGGGAGACAAGGAAGCTAGTTTTGACCCGCTTAATATCGACCAGGTCAAGCTTAGAAAAACCGTGCTTGAAACATACCTCCTGGCCGAATTGAAGCAACTCGAAAGTCTAGAGTCTTACCGAAGCTCTCTTCAAGGTGCGTATGACCTGGACCTCGAATACCTTAATGATTTCAAGAAGACTACCTCGAAATTACGAGGACAGATTTCACAAGAAAGAAACAAAAATGCAAGGGAACTACGTTTTGAGCCAGAAAATAGCCAGAAAATTGATATTCAGTTAGCTCAAAAAGCTCCGTTGATAAACACCGCAACGCTTGCGAGAGCACGTTTCGACCCGGATGAGGACGGTGACGTAAAGCAGCTTCTAGACGAACTTCACGACGAAGTTTCAAAACTCGATTCTCGCAAGCGAGAGATGCTCGATCTATGTGACCAACTAGATATTATCGAACATCAACTATACACACGTCATGCAAAGCGGGCAGAGTAAGAGGCCACACTTACTCTTGTGTCTGCTGGACATAATCAACCAACATGGATCCAGTACACGGTGACGATGTGTATGAACATATCATCGACACGAAAAGACAAATACCCATCTTTTTGATCGTCCCATACCGCACCAACAACAGACTGTATGTTCATGTCAAATTCAGCCAGCGATTTCTGGTCAATTTTGGTGACCAGCACCAAAAATTTGTGCTTGGAACTTTTAATGCTTAGTTTCAGAGCAATCTTCCGTGCTGTTTCTTTGGAATCTTGCAAATTATCCTTCTCCTCTAAAACAAGTCTTTTGAGGTCTTCGGCATCTATAGGGCCCTGGCTTCCTTGCGCGGCATTGAGTATCTGAATTGACATCTCTTTGACGTATCAGCGAGTGTTTGTGGATAGCACGGCGTACTAGGTCGGGGCGCGATATATTTAGGATGATCGGAGCCCGGATGGAATGCGGCTCCAAGTACCGAAACGCCCATATAGTCGACCAGTCACTCCTGCACACCCAAGCGTCCTTGTTTTTTCTTTTCAATTTGCTGATCTGGATTCATCCCATTAAGCCTTTCTCGTCCGAAAGAAAACAAAACGGATTTTTTATCATGTTGTATTCAATGTTGAGTACGCTCTATTTCAGCCCGATCGCTCGGGTCGGATGTTTGGAATACGAGCGCGGTTGCCGCCGCGGTGCACAATTACAGACGTGATGAAAAACCTGGACCGGGAAATCCAAGTCTTCCTTTTAACGGTTTTCTCATAAATACAAAGTCGCTCATTGTATTGTTGAAGCTGTTGGGGTCTATCAAGTATCTTACAGAATTCACAAGTATGGAGTTTTTCAAAAAGAAGTCGAAAGACCTGAAGGCAAGTGGAAGCATGTCGGAGGGCGATGCCTCGTCAGTCACTTCTCGCGTTACCTCCGTCTCCTCGACGACATCAAAAAAGGGCCTTGTGAAATGTCAGAAACCGTTCGAGGAACCTCTTAACCCGACCAAGCCACCCGAATTCAAATTGTCAGATCAAGAGCAAGCGTGTTACGATGAAGTATTAGAGCACTTTCAAAAGTACGCCAAAACCGCTGACATACCCGTTAATGACAGTGCCGGAGCAGCCTCACATTCATTGACTGATGAAGAAAAAGCTTGGCTTACCAAAGAATGTTTTCTCAGATATTTGAGAGCTACTAAGTGGAAGGTGGGGCCGACCATCAAAAGGATAGAGGACACGATTGTTTGGAGACGCACGTTTGGAGTTGTCAATATTGAAGGCCATTCTGATTCCAACAAAATTTTGACATCAGAAATGGTGGAACCTGAGAACCTTACCGGCAAAAATCTCATTTTGGGTTATGATATTGATAATAGGCCGTGTTTGTATCTCCGAAATAGGTACCAAAATACATCAGCATCCATAAGACAGGTTCAGCATTTAGTGTTCATGCTTGAGAGAGTGATACAGTTTATGCCCCCAGGACAGGATACATTAGCCTTGCTCATTGATTTCAAAGCGGCTCCAGCCCATTTGAAGCTCTCTGCAAAATTCCCATCCCTCAGTATATCCAAGCAGGTTCTTCATATTTTACAAAACCACTACCCAGAAAGATTGGGTCGCGGACTTTTCACAAATATTCCATGGATAGGCTATACATTTTTCAAGGTAGTGGGACCTTTTATAGATCCTTACACGAGACTGAAAACAATTTATGATCAGCCGTTTGAGAACTTCGTCCCCAAAGAACAATTGGACAAAGAGTTCAATGGAATGTTGGATTTTGAGTACGTCCATGATGTGTACTGGCCCATAATGAATGAAATCGCTGAAAAAAAAGCAGCAATTGTGCGTGAGAATTTCAAAAAACTAGGGGGAGGAATCGGTTTGAGCGAGTATGACCTCAAGAGAAGTCTCTAATGTTTATAAATGTGTTGATTTATTGAGGTTTTAGACTAAATGTCTTCGCGGCGTATTTCTTCTCAAAACAGGACATGCGGAATATGATACAGATTATAGAGTCGAGTGTTCTGAAGGATAGTGGGTATTGACAGAGATCACTTGCCGATTTCGGGCTTGGAATCAAATTTGCACCCATGAAGCTAGTTGGTTCTTCAACGCAGACATGGCCCTCACGTTCAAAGCCGCGCGAGACGTTCTGAGTCAGATCTATATTAATGCGCGCATGGACCGTGCCGAGTAACTCTTCGTAAGGTCCATAAGCTGAAGCATAGCCCTTATAGTTTAAAATCCAAGAATGTATTCTCTTACGTTTATAGCAAATGGACCTAGGTTGTCCGAAGAAAATAACCGTGATATTGAAGAGTTTGTCACGACGAGGTTGCAAGTGTCTGTGTTGACAAAGACCCAGCTTTCGGCGAACAGAGTGATAGATTTTCAAATCGACACCAACGTCCCCGAACTTGTTTCCGCTCTCGTAAAGAAAGAAGCTGCGTCCAAGACGTATGACATTATCTTTCAGCTTGCATCTGAGAGAAAAAACAAGAAGTTGTTTATTTTCGACATGGACTCCACTTTGATTTACCAGGAGGTGATTGAGTTGATCGCTGCGTACGCCGACATCGAAGACAAGGTAGCTGAGATTACTGAAAGAGCCATGAATGGAGAGCTTGACTTTAATGATTCATTGAGAGAAAGAGTACTTTTGCTAAAGGGTATCGATGCCTCTACTCTTTGGGATGAATTGAAAGACAAAATTAAGATTACCAAAGGAGCCCGTGAGCTTTGCAAGGCCTTGAAAAAACTTGGCGTCGTTATGGGCGTTTGTTCTGGAGGATTCATTCCATTAGCTTCATACGTGAAGGAACAGCTAGGTTTGGATTACGCTTTTGCCAACACTCTCGGTGTGGATGAGCAATCTAAGCTTGACGGCACCACCAGAGGATACATCGTGAACGGTGAAAAAAAGGCAGAGCTTTTGCTAGAAATTGCTTCGAACCATAACATCGACCCCAAAACTGCCGTTGCTGTAGGAGATGGCGCGAACGACTTGAAAATGATGAGCACGGGTGGCTGGGGTGTGGCTTGGAATGCCAAGCCAAAGGTGCAAAAAGAAGCACCCAGCTGTTTGAACTCTGATTCCTTACAAGACATATTGTACATAATGGGGTTCTATGACTCGGAGATCGCCGCTCTTCTCACTTGAGTCTAGGCACTACATAGATTAGAGCACGCTACCGGTACTTGGATTTGAACTATTAATAGAAATGAATATCGGATGTTCCAATTTTCGTTTTTTTGTTTGACTGGAAGATCATACATGCTTTCCAACTGCGTTTACCCGACAAAGCCTTTAATTGTACCTCTTACGCATCCCATCACTCCATTCATTAGCATGACATCATGCCCAGTTCTGAGCATCTCCACCGAGATGTCACCCTCTTGAATAAAGTTCTTTCTGAGCAAAAAATGTCTGGTGACACCACAAAGACATCCGGAAGTGAGTTTAGGCGTGATCCAAATTCCCTGTTTACTCTTGATGGCGATGTTCGTGATCGATCCTTCCATCACCTCTGATGTTGTATTGATTACTATGACTTCTTCGCGAGCAGATTTTCCCGGCAAGGCTCTGGTTCTTGCTTCGGTGTAAATGTCTCTATGTGTGGTTTTGAACGATGTGAAAGGTGAAGCAAGAACCGGAGTTTTGTCAACGTACACATCATATCTTTTCGAATCAGGGAAGTCATCGATTAGACCATCAAGAAGACTCTTTCTCTCTGCCGTTTCGTACAACTCTATTTTTGCGTCCCCTGCTTTATTGATGAGGAGTCGAATTTTCAAAGGTTTTCTTATGTTAACCTCGGAGTGCTCCAAAGCGTCTATGAGCTTGTCCAACATGAGACTCTCGTCAATGGTAAATTGAGCATTATTTAGCTTGAAAGACTTATCATCAAGGCGACCGAAGAACTCAAGTGTGAACTTAATACGCTCAATGTGTTCAGGAAGCAAAAAGAAGTTTTCTTTTTTGACCTCTTTAGCGGATCTAGGTGGAGTCTTGCTTAATAGCGGATCGTAGCGTATAGTAGACAAAAGCTCAAAAGGCACATCAATCGTGAATTGTTTCTTTTTACCCAAGGAACTGATAAACTCCTCGTATGTCGGCAATTCAGGCTCGGGCTCAGCGGACATGATCCCGTGTAATCGAAGATATGAGAATGACTGCCCAAAGCCACACTAGGAAAGCGCGGAAGGCGAATAGTATGACTGAAAGTCTAGAAATTTCTTTTCATACAAAAAGATGATTATGGGTTGTTGGATGTACATTTCAGAATAAAAGATATTCTACTGGTACATAAACCGTTTAGTTACTTTAGGAAGAGTTTGGAATTAGTAAAAGGTTGATTATTTGTGCGTATAAAATCCAGCATGACAAAGTTATAAATTAGCGAGGCTTCTTTGTTCTCAAAGTTATAAAGTATACATTGTTGATTTGCTAACTTTACCTTGAATTCAATACAACTCCTATCAATATGGTCTAAACCTTTTTCTTTCCTTCATCAATTTGACCCTTTCTTGGTCCTGTTTGAACTTGTGCAACAAATCGTTCATTTCCGCTTTCTTCTTTTCTCTCAATTGAAATCTGTAGAAGTCGTCCTTCTCCTTTCTTTTCAGTTTTTTCTTTGAATTTTCTTGCTCCTTAGCTTGTAAGAGTTTTTGCTTGCCCAACATGCCTGCCTTGGTCTTAGTATGCGATCCCACCACCAATGTGAAACCGTCTTCATCCACGATCTGGGTCTGCTTTTGCAACTCCTCCCTGGATTCTTGCTCGGCCTTGTTAAACAGCTCTAAAGCTTTGGAGACGTTCTGCGCAAGTTCATTAGGATCGAGAACCTTTGCCTTGAGTTTCCCCAAGAGAAACTGAGTGCCCATGGAGGGCATTGGCCAGTTTGTACTTTTTTTATCTCCCGATAATTTCTTTAAAGCACTGAAAGCAAGTTGAAATGATGCCTTATCAATAAAAGTGATAATTCCACAATTCTTCGGGAGTTTCACTGATATTTCTCTAGTGTCCCCGTCGGCCACTTCATACTGCAAATCACTCGTGAACTTAGTAAGGTCTATGTATACTTCCTCCTCCATGTCAGTTAAAGGACTGGCAATATAGTTTTCAACAGTGGCACCAATAGCTACTTGCTGGAAGTACTTTCTCAAAACACCGACGCTAGTTTCTATTGGAGTGTTGAATATGAAGAGCAGTCGCCCACTGATGTTCTGTGCACCTGGACTGCCCTTCATCTCGTGCTTTCTAAAATACATGTAGTGCATACCATCGCCTTCCGGTAGCCTAACTTTCAAGACCTGAAATCCTTTTATTTCGGTGATGCCAGCCATTTTTAATTTGGGTCTGTCTTCAGGTGCTACTGGTCAACTATTTTTTCGAAAGCCTGATGAGCTCAGAGTGCGCAGAAGCCTTCCACCAAAGATTTGGTGAAGGTGCGCGAGATGCTTAATAGCCGAACAATACTATAAATCACATCGTCAAAATCTGAGCTATGAGTGGTTGAGAAGATTTTTGACTTTGATGATTTCAGTTTCAGTTTCGAATAGAATTGAATTTTTTGCGTGAAGAAAAGAGCTTTTAGAATTTGGGTCGTCTTCGAACAATCTCCCGATTCTTTAGCAAGGTGCGGCTCAGTTCAGTTCGCACCTTGTTTACCTTTAGTGTGCTTCATGAGCTTGTCTACTACGAGACCCACATATTCAACTGCCTCAAAAACTAACTATGGATGTCAAAGGTAGAAAAAAAGACTCGATAGAGCAGTTTATCGAGCTGCCACAAATCCTCGTCGATAACGGTCTCTCACAGCTAAGATACATGATCTTAATAGAGGGTCTTTCCATTCCTGACGGCTACGAACAATGCCCGTACAGAAGCTACGTGTGGTCAATACTATGCAAAGTCCCCGTGTATCCAGCATATAAGTACCAGCAGACAATATCAAAGATATCGAGGAATCTTTCGCCTGAGGTGTATCAGAAAATCAAGAATGATACTTTCAGAACCCTTATGAACGATAAGGCTTTCCATTCACGAGTTTCTGAGGACTCATTAATGAGGATTCTAGCTGCAATAGCAACTTCAATCCCGGAAAACAAAGTTGGCTACGTCCAAGGTTTGAATGTTCTTCTTGCACCTATTGCATATACCTGCTATAAGAGTGAGCCACAAGCCTTCGCGATTCTTCATCATTTAATCACAAAGCAAATCCCGTTGTACATTACTCCAAATTTGGACGGAGTACACACTGCATTAAGCTTGGTGGACCTCGTCCTCAAGATCATCGACCCGGTTCTTAGTGAGTTTCTAGACTCTAAGTTTCTCAAGGCAGAAATATATGCCTTTCCTTCGGTACTCACGCTTTGTGCTTGCACACCTCCACTCAAATCGCTCATCAAGATGTGGGACTTTCTTTTTGCATATGGCACCCACATGAACTTATTGTTTGTTGTTGCCCAGCTAATCCGAAATCGATCCACGCTATTAAAGTCCCTACAGCCAATGAAGGAATTGAGAAATTTTCCTGCGTTAGACGAGAACAATATCATCAAACTTAGTTTGAGTTTTATACCAGAACTCCCTAAAGATCTATACGATATGATCACGCGACACGGATTCGATCCAAGTGTTCCGAAGGAACTCGCGATATTCATTAAAGCGCACAAGCTTTAGAACAAACCGTTTGCGTAATCCTCATGGCTATAAAATGCGCAAAGTACTGTTCTGTCGTTGTAAGAGCGGCCTGCCATACTCATCAAAGCACTGAGAGCTACTTGCTCGCTTTCAAACTCTATGTAAATCTTCCCAATTCCAGGCTGAGTTAGCTGCAGAATTCCAGCAGAGTAATCATGTGGGGGCCGCGGTATCTTCATCGAGACAACTTTGCCAAACGAATTTGCTTCGTGCTGAATATCTTGCTCTATGAATCGAAACGATTCTTCATCAGTCAAGTCCGCTGCTGTGACCACATTTATGAGCTGAATGACCTTCAGTTTTGGGTGAAATGCCACATACTCATTTCGAACCAAACCCTTTAATGTTTTGAGCTCGATGGGACAATCTTGAATACTAGTTTCAATCACATTCTCACCGGAAACTTTCAAACATGAGAAGCAGGCGCGAATGACCATATCCAATTCTTCAGTCTGTTTTAAATACACCATTGTTTGCTTGAGAGCACTTTTTGTGTTGGGAAAACTTTTGGCATCAATATAGAATTCCAAAAATGCGACCCCTATAGGATCCTTCGTTCCCACCTCTCGAACGTATTGGAATGCTCTAATTGGGGCTATTTTATTTAACGCGTCAATTAAAGAAGATTCATTGGCAGCCTTGTCGACAGTAAGTGTGATTTTCCTTGGACTGTCCAAAACTTCATCATCAATCTCATCTTTAGGTGAATTATAGGGAGGCAAACATTGTACCACATATTCACCTGGTCTTGACATTTGCAAGATGACGTCTCCGCTTGTGTTGAAGCTGGCAGCGGGCAAATTCTGGCCATTCAATGTGAGAGCCAAGGTAGCAGCAACACTGGTTTTGAATTCGATAATGAGCTTGCTGTCATCCTTGGTTTTCCGTTTTCTCTCTATATTGTTTCCAATAGATACACCCTTGATGTCAGCCGAGCCGATAAATTTGTTAATGTATTCCGCCACAATCAAATGATCGACTTTCAGGAAGTCTATGCCCTTGATGATGACAATGCATGAATTTCGGGAGTCTAATGGGTCAATTTTGGAAGATGCTAATAAAATTCCATTCTCAGTGCATCCATCTTTAATAAGTCCCTCCAATTTCGTGACATCCACAGGCCGTGGTGAGCCTGGAAGGGGAAAAAGCCCCGAAAGTTTAGCTCTTTGAGCTGTCACCTTTTCAAATCCTTTTGGCTTGATTCCCCACTGGCTTCCTAATACAGGAAATTTGTCTATAGTAGGCACGCGTAGTAGCCCGATCAATCGGCGCTCATACTTTGTAATCAATTCTTCCTTTGATAATTTTGCATCTGGATCAGCAGGAGGCTCACTTTTGACATTCTCCCGTCTTTGTTCGCGAGGGCCCCTTTCGTTTTCATATCTAAAAGGTCTTCTATCATTCATATGTCTTGCTGAAGAACCCAGACTATTATACCGGCGGTCTCTGTATTCGCAGTCACGGTCCCGATCCCGATCACGGCCACCAGAACTCCATTCTTTCCTCAACCGCAGATCCTGGCCTCTTGTTTCTCGTTCTCTGGCTGGTATATCTTGATGTTCAGACGGATTTCGCAAGTCCAGAACAGCTCTGTATGACAGTTCGCGTGGTCCTCTATCTGTCTTGTATGATTTCTGATTATAACTCATCTTGAATCTTATCGCAAATTAAAAGACTTATTCCAGTTGACGTGATGTTCTGAGTCTCTTCTGGTACTATGTGCGGGCTCTTCTCAATTCTGCAAGCATTTGAAATTCCGCGCCGCGCTCAAGCTTCCTGAGGTAAGCAATGGATATTTCGCGACTGTGAAAATGACGTTTTATTTCTTATTTGTTTGTTCTCATTTCTTCGAAGAAGCAGCAGATTCTATAAAGGCATTCCTTACAACTCGTCGTGCTCATCAGTACGCTCCTGATTCTTCGCATCGTCGTGGTCCGCTTCGGCATTTTCATTCTCGACATTGCTGCTTTCCGAGTCTATCGTTTGGTTGTTCAGTTCGGGGAAACCATACTCGGTGTTGTTGTAAGCATTCTCAACTTCTTCCACTACCTCCTCATCAACATTCGCTGCTTTTTCTTTCTCCTTCTCTTCTTTCAACTTCGCCTTCAATTCCTTTTGCTTTTTTCTTTCCTTCAATTTCTCCAACCGGTTAAGAAGGTATGTCAAGCGTTGTTCGTGCTGCTTCTTGAGTAATTCACCATCTTTTATCATTTCGATCATCAACATATGGACTAATTCACTGGTCTCGAATTTGGTACGAGGCTCTAACTTTTCATATTTTGACTGCGAAACACTGGTCATTTGCGTGAGCTCCTTCAAAGCTTTCTTGAATTCCAGGAAATGTTTTTCCAACTCAAGCTGATCCGACAGCTTGATTCCATGAATCTTTTTCATGATCTTTTCATTTTCGATATCGAATTCAAATCCGTCGGCTTCGTATTTTTCCCTCATTTGCTGGGCTTGTGAACCAAATTCCAACAATGTGTCTTGCACTGTCAGCGAAAGCTGGTTTCCTTCATCCAATAAATCTCTCATGGCTGATAAGCTCAAATCAGCATCCAGCATCCTCATGGTGTCTTCTAAATACTTTCTGGATGCTTTAACGTTTCTCATCTTTTCTTCAACCTCTTCAACAGTGGCAGAATCTGATTCATATTCCACCCACTCTAGCATGTCGCCTGCGTTTGATTGAATTTGCTCGAGCTCCGCCTCGCCAAGATTTTGCGCAAACATTTCATAGTGGTCCTCGATATAGAACTGCAAATTGTAGCAGGCGCTCTCCAATAAATTCTTTGCGTGCTTGAAAATAAGTTTTTCCTTTTCCAACTCCTTCAAATGATTCAATTTTGATAAAAACGCCTTTTTCTCTGAAACGGTGTATGGCCTCAAGCTTGTGAAAGAAATAGCCGGAACTAAAACATTCGCCGTGGATTTTGTGGGTCTCTTGTAGGTAGAGTTCAGTTTAGTTGAATTCTTCTCATCAATGACAACTTCTTCAGATTCAGCTTTTTTAGTGACCTTGCAGTTCAAATATAGGTTGTCTAGAGTGAAAATTTTATCTTCTCCAATCACAAACTGAGCATATAGATTTATGTCTTCTGCGAAGCACGTCATATCAGATGCTCTAGAGGCAATTCTAGACACATTATATGAGCCGTAAAGCTGGCCGTTCTCGTGTAATCCAAGGAGAATCGTGTCACCAGTGATTTGACCCAAGTTTACCAATGATGTGTTCCCTGCGGACGAACCCTTTGGGAATACAAGTTGCTTCTCATCGGAGCCATTAATAGAAATTTCAAAGTCATTCAAGATGCGATCCTTCAAAATAACGTCAGTACCACTACCTGTGATCATTTTCAACTGGTAGGCTCTAATAGTGGTGCCATAAGCACATGCTTCGTCTGCATTAAGGACCTTGGAAATTTTGCCCTCTCCCAAGAGGTTCACGAGTTGCTTTTGAATAAATGGTGTTCTTGTAGCACCACCATTCAAAATGACTGACTCGATGTCAGAAATTGTCTTGGGGCCACTTGGGGAATTTCTCAAAGCATCTAAGATAGGCTTGTTAACGCGATCAATTAATTTTGATGTAGCATCTTCAAACTCCTTTCTCAGGATCATTGCTTTGAAGTCTTCATCATTATAAAAGCTCTCCAAAGATACCATCGAGTCAGCGTTAGCAGACAAGACAGTTTTTGCTTTTTCGGCAGACTCAATCAATCTTGCAGCCAACCTAAAAGGCATTTCAAAGGCTTCATCTAATTTGAACTTTTCACGAAACTTCTTCGAAAGAATTTCATAGACATGCTGAGTCAACAAGTCGCCTCCCAATGAATCGTCGAAGCCTACTGACTGAACATCCAACAAGATAGTTCTGTTTTCGAAAGGAGTAAACGAGAACAACGTGGCGGTAGCTGAACCTGCGCCAATATCATAGATGATCTGATGAACAGTGTTGTTATCGTATTCTTCAGGCGCAAGCTTCTTATCGGACACGTATGCCAATGCAGCTGCACATCCTTCGTCAACCAAGCCCAAAACTGAAGAAAAGTTGGCCAAGTGTAGGGCATCTCTGAATGCAAGCCTAGATATCTGGTTCGAAAAAGGTGGAATTGACATAGCCACATCTTCGGCGATGGCCCGGGCTTGCGGGTGCTGGGTCAAAGCTTTGATCACACGTTCCTTCAAGTCTGCGAGTGACATGGCAGCAAGCTCCTCGGCAGAAAAAGTAAAAGACTCTCCAGAGCGGCCCAATTCAAATGCAATAGCATCTTGTCTTTCATTATTGGGCACAATGTTGAAATGAGGGTTCTGCTCCAAATAGGCTTCAACCCATGAGTCGTTCGTAGTCTTGCCGAGCAATGATTTCAAGTTCGCAGCACAAGATTCTGGAGACCTCGAACAGAGAGATCCTATTTGCGAACCATATGCTCTTTCTACATCTTCAAGTTCACCTTTGCTTACTTTTGGCTCAACATAAATCGCAGAGAGATCTTTTCTGTTTCCTCCGTCCGTTGGAATGATTTCAAATCGGATTCCTGGAGCCACCATCATGGCCTTGGTGTACTTGTGACCGAAATCAATACCCACAATGGCTGCGGATACGGCCGACCATGCATAACATATTGATAGAAATTTCATTGGCGCGTTTGGGAACGATACCCGAAGAAATAGATGATACTAGGTATGGAAATTAAACGAATTGCGGAGAAGACAAGACTTTTGTCGGGCAGTGTGCAGTCCATTCTCAAGAGAACACCCTGGCGTTTCGTTGCGACGAGAACAGCGCGCTACACTGTATTCTCTGTACACGACGAACAAAGCAGTGCTCCGATAACTTTATTCTGACCGAGGATTCAGCGCTTATCGGGCGTGTCTGAAACACAATATTTGCATGAAAATTCTCCGAAAGCGTTTTTTTCTGGTAAGCTACGCATACATTAGTGCGCTCTCGTTCATTGCAGTGAGTTCCAGTGGGTGCAGTATTTCGCAATGAACACCAGTTTAAAATTATGTTTTTGTCCTTAAAAAAAGTCTTCTCTTTTTCATAATCTCATCAAGTTTCCGTTCGATTGAGAAAGTTTGATTTTTCAGAGGTCGTGAAATACTGCCAGTAGTCAATTGTATCTGCACTGCGCCATCCTCTCTGAATTACCACGCAATTGAGTTGAGCCGCCGCAAGAAGTAGCTACCGGCACGCACGACAATTATTCTACTCCTTTTAAGCATATTCATCAAATTAGGTATAAAGAATTAGAGACAAATGGGAGTGTTAGATAGTTCATTGTTCTTGCTTTAATTCTATCTCGTTTATGGAGTATCTTCGAGGTTGCCACAGTTCCAGCTGATATCAAGTCTGTTCTCTGTAAAAAAGTAGTGGTTGGCCAGAAAACCCTATATTGAGAAAAATACTTTACCCGAAACAAAAGCACATTGAGCTATGTCAGCAGTACAATATGCCACTTGACATTCGGTCCTTGACTTTTCGACATCCCTGTCCTGTTTTTGGTACCATGCAAATCCGGTTCGATATCCGATGTACTGCACACAATCTCGGGCTTTGTGAAATGCCGGTTAAGCAGGACTATTTACTTGGGATAGGCTGTGTTTTCCAGTAAAGTACTTTTAATAATTTGTTTTATCAGCTCATCTTCTTCGTCACTTCATAAACAATTTCTACGCAACAGCATTTTCTACCTTGAAGCGCAAGTGGCAGTTTGTTTTCCCATGCCGCGGCGTTTCCGCGGGACAAATGAGGGTTGCGCGAACCAGCATACAAGTAACCTCATCTCCCTCATCAGGAATTTTTTGCGCTTGGGTTTAGTCAATACCTGGGTATCTTCTTCAGCCATTTTGGGTTGCTTGATTCAGCGGTCGTGTAAACAAACATAAACAACTCCAAAATGGATTCTGCTGACGTTGAGGCTTCAAAAATGTACATTTCGTACAACAACATTCACCAGTTGTGCCAAGAAACCTCCGACAAAATCAAGGAGTTCAAGCCTGACTTGATCATCGCTATCGGTGGAGGTGGTTTCATCCCGGCTCGTATGTTGAGAACATTCTTGAAAGAACCAGGTCAGCCAAATATCAGAATCATGGCCATTATCCTTTCTCTTTATGAGGATATTGGAAGTGTTGGTACGCAAGTAGAGACCGTTGGAACTCAGGTGGTTAGAACCCAGTGGATTGACTATGCGCAGTCGAAGGTTGACTTGGTCAACAAAAACATTTTGATCATCGACGAGGTCGACGACACAAGAACCACCTTGCATTACGCTGTGTCCGAGTTGAAGAAGGATGTATCTGAGCAAGCTGCTGCTCTTGGAGCTGATCCCAACAACACCAAGTTCGGTGTTTTTGTTCTCCACGACAAGATAAAAACCAAGAAGGCCGACTTGCCTGATGACATCATGAAGACTGGTAACTATTTCGCTGCCAGAACCGTCCCTGACTGCTGGATTGCCTACCCTTGGGAATCTACCGATATCGTCTACCATACTGATAGAGCATTGGAGCAGAAAAATGATGTTTTCCTTCCATCCACAACTCAATAGACTTGTATAATATGTATCACCTGTTGATCTAAACGCGCCACGCCAATTCAGTCATCTATTTCAATGTAATCGGGACTCCGCGAATGGTTCTTCAACAGATCGTGTCCACTGTTACTTGTGACTGTGGTTCTCTTCTTGCTTTGCCTTAGGGATTTTCCTTCGCCTTGATAAGATACCGAAGGTGCCGATTCTTCTTTTTTCTCAAGAACGGGCAAAACAACGGGCCATCCCAAGAAGATTTGATTTTCTGGCAAGTTCAACTCAACAGGCGTCGCATTAGGGTCCAAGTCGTCGATGGTTATTCTTTTTGTGTCGTGCGAACCAACTTCTTTACCCGAAAGCTTTTGACCCGTGCCCTTGTATACTTTTTGATTATTACCTTCATGTACGATGTTTGCATACCCAATGGAATGCGCCATCGTTGCCGCTCCAGCACTCCTATTCACTTTTTTAGGATCTATTGGAGATGCCGAAGACTTTGCTCCTTTGGGCTTGTACTCTGGTTCAACGTACCCTACAGGTGGGGCAAAATCTGTTTCTAAATCTGTTTCCACAACACATATTCCCTTATTTGTGCTCTCTGGCTTGACCTCCAACACCTTTATGCCAAACCTTGTATCATTGTAGTCAATTTCAATAACATCATTGACTGTCAACGTGGAAAACTTTCTCAATGCATTTTCAAGGACGGCCTTGGGGTCCGAAATGTCTAGAAACTCAACCGATTGTGGCTCTAGTTTCACGAATTGGCCGTTGGGTAAATCGCAGCTTGCGATTTTTATCAAGGACCCAGGTTGTAATTTCAAGGTTTCCATGGTCCATTGTGGGAGATACGCTCTTCCTTCCTCAGCAACAAACTCCAATACACCACTATGAGAGGTCAAGTTTTCGGCCTCGTTTGTCAACTCGAATAACATTGGGTATCGAATGTGCAACATTGTGAGTTTGTTCAACGCTGATGAGGGGAGGAAGATCTTGCCACCAAAGTTTGAATCATCTTTCCTGACATTGTCAGGCATCATTGCCACCGGATAGCACCTGAAGTAATCCTCGAATTTGGAGTTGATGGGGGCAAAAGAGGCACCACCAAAAAAGTTAGACCCAAACCCGGAAAACATTTTGAGGTTTTGGTGATTGGAACAAAGAAAATTGAACCTAAAATGTATTCTAGCTTCTTCCGAAGGTGTCCACGTAGTAGTGAGTGGTTAAGTGCTGCCTCAGATTTGGCCCTGTCTTGAAGTTTATCTATATACACTCCTGATCCTCAAATGCCTTGACCTGCTGCATTCTTCTGTTGTTGGTTTATCTGAATGATCCTGAGCGCGACTTCCTTCTGTGAGTCGTCTAAGTTCCCGAATATCAATTGGTGGCGAGATGGATCGGCTTGCTGCACAGCAGTTGCCTTTTCAGCAAAAACTTGGTATACGTTGATCAGATCAATTGGTGTTGCCTTTAAAGCCTCCAACTCGGCCTCATCCGCTTCCAAGTCATCCTCGTAGAAGTCGTCATCGTCTCCATCCTCTTCATTTTGGTAGTCCTTCGCACTAACCTTAACGCCGCTCTCTCTGTCAATGAGTTCTTGTTTGGCCCGGATTGCATGAGGCAAGTGTTCTAAATTAGAAATGACCAAGTCAGCAGTCTCCCCTACTAGATCCTCACCCGGGAGAACATTCATAGGAGCATCAATGACGATGGACAATGCTGCCAAAATTTGAAGCTTGCAACCATAAACACTCTGAAACTCGTCACCATACTTGATCCACAATTTGAAAAACGTGCTCGTGAATTGCTTCTCATTCAAGAATTGTAACGTGTAAGCTGGTTCGACAAATAAGCATGCGAAAAAGATTTTGAGAATGGACAAATGGTGTAACATGTGACCATCAAATGCATCTTCTGATTCTAAAGTTGTGAATACGGTGAAGACTTCGGTAAATTCCATCAACTCGAACGCATAGTGAGCGAATACAGGATCAACGTCCCCTTGCAATACTTGAAAACAAACTTTGAACAAGCTCTGTACATGTGGATTTTCGATTGTGACTTCCTCGCTAACAAAAGACGACCTCACCACAGACTCAAAGAATGGTTGGAAAGTATCAAAGTATTCAAATGCATATGTGTCGAAAGCATCGATGCAATCTTGATAAATTTCCCACATTGAAGGGCTCATTGTGTTAGTGCTGTACAAGATGGATTCGGCCATTTCCAATCCTTCAGTCAAAAACATGAGCATGGAATTCTCCAAAATAAGCTTCACCACATCTTTGATGACCAACTCCAAATTCGCAGAGACTTCGGGGGAAGAGCTCATGGAAACAACCAATGAAGTTAAAGTGTTCAAAATACCGGCGGCTTGATACTCTTTGTCGATATCTGAATTCCCACCATTCGACATTTGCTCCAAAATTTCCTGCGCTAATTTGAGGAATTGTTCAACTAATCGGTATGACAACTCATTGGCATAAGGTTCCAAATTTGCTGCAAACTTTGAAACAAAAACGTCCATTACCGAAGTTAATGTATCGCTTTCAAAGTTCTTAGATAAATCGAGCAACGTTCCCATCAATTGAGGGGCTTGTTGTGCGATTCTTTCAGCCACATATTCTTCTTCGACTAGAGTTCTTAAAGCATCAATCGCAGTCAATTGGATTGGAAACTGTTCTTGGTGTTGAAAGCATGCGACAACACCGTGGAAAATGTCTTGCAACACAGCTTGATCGCTGAATTTATGAACGAATATGGCTAT